CCCCCGCCTTAATGTTCAGATGTCATTAAAATTATTGGGAGATACTTTGTGTAGTGAAGAACAGAAGTTTGCTAAATCAGAAACGTTGATGTATTTTAAAACAAACTGAATCTATTTTTTAAACTTAAAACTTATAATCTTCCAATGTTTGTTTTCCACAAAATCAGGTTGTTTTTTTGTTTTGACCATACATTTTAATGTAGAACACTTCTATGGCATGGTGTAGAGGGATCACTAGTGATAAAAGAGCATAGACCCAAAACAAGAGTTCATGAAATCATTTTGATTTCCTCATCGATAGCAGAGGGCACTGTGCACCAACAGACTGCTTCTTCCTCAGTGTTCAGGAAGTGGAGATTTTGGTTTCTGCTTTGATTTCTGCTTATGCTCACAGTAGCAAAGGTGCCTCAGACAGGAAATAGTTCCTGACTCTTCCTCATTAAGAGTTTGGGCAGTTTGTTGTCTTTGGCAGTACGATGTCAATTCAGACTTCCTGAAAGTGTGTTCAACTCGCTTTTCAAAATACTGTTGCCTGTATAATCCAAATTCTGTTTGATATTGGGACTTGCAAAGCCTGTGTGACTGAGAGTTAAATAATGTCGTCTTTCCCCTTTAATAGCTGACAAGGCAAAGGGGGAAGGCTCTGTGGTATTTTATATAAATCAATAGTACTTCATTTGTAGCTGATAGAGTTATACTGAGGCAAATATGACACAAAAGCAGAACTATGCTGTGGGCCTTGTAGGAATGATCTTTCAATGTCCATAGAAATAGTGGTATAGGAGAGAGCTAAGATTTCTTTCCGTTAGAAGCAGAAAAACGTTCATAGTATATTCGAAAGGTAGTCAAAGATAACCCAAACTGTAGGCTTCCTAGAGCGTTCTGAAAATTGCTGTTCCGAAACACACTTATCTCTTAAATGTCACTTATCTCTTTTCAACATCTCTCAAGTCGAGCATCTAAAATCTTAGAGCTCGAAACAGCCTGTGTGTCAAAAACGTGTTGTAAGGATTGTTAGCTTTGAATATTGCTGTTGGGTTATGTTTGTTTGTCTTGATGTTCTTCAGAACTTCAAAGCATGTGTGTGTGACTCTCTTGCTTTGTCCCTTAGGTGAAGTACATCTGCTCAGCTATGGGCTGTCGCCGGTGGGATGATGATGAAACAGAACAGGAAGAGACGCTTTTATTGCACCGAACGCAGAAAACAGTCCGTGCTGTTGGACCACGCAGTGGCAATGAAAAGTAAGTGTAAGAATTGTTCAGAAAAAATCCAATAGAGATAAGTTCTTAATATGTAACGTTTTAACGATTTGACCTCTCATTAGACTCCCTGCATGAGGGAGTTTAGATTGTTAACCAAAGGAATGCACTGGACTGTTGGCTAGGATCTAACCCCTTCGCTCTTCAGTGCTTTTGAAACATGTCTTGAACTTAAGTTTTATAGATGATTAGACAGAAAAGATATGTACACGTATTTATTCCCTCTAAATCAAATGAAAAGTACTTTTCTTGTCCTTGCATACCTCAAAAGAGTTTGTCACTGCTCTACTGCACAAGGCAAGTGTCACTAATGTTTGTTCCAGCTGATGATTTTTGTACAAAAGGAGACAGTTTAAAAGTGATTTTATGACTTACTGATTCACTTTTAAGTTCTTTACATACTCATGGTAACTGTCACTGTTTTGTTTCTTTCAACCTCGATGTCTTCAGCTTTCATTTTAATTTGATTTTAAAGTGTCTTCAGTCTTATTTTTAAAAAATCCCATTCTTAAATCTACTTTGTTCATTTTGTAACACGGTGGTCTGCTCTTTCTGGTTCAGTCTGTGACTTGCCTAATGCTGTCATGTTGAAGTTTTAATGCATCAAGATTTCTATAAAAATAGACATGCATTCCACACAAAAAAACCCCAAATAAATCAAAACCCACTTCATAAAGTGCAGCTTTAAAAGGCTGGTTGCCATGCACAGATACAGTAACTGCTCAACAATGTAGTGGAGAACTAGTCATTCCCTGTTCCCCTGCTCCCTCTTCTGTTTGCAGCAGGATTTGACAGGTTGCGCATCTGTAGTGTAGCAGGGGTAACCTAACTAGAACTCAAATGGATTGGTAGATCATCAGTCTTAAAAGAGAAATCTTGAATTCCATTGTTCTTGGGAGACTGATACTGGCAGGGAGAGGTATGTCATGAGAACATGCTTTTTCCTTTGTATGTCTCTTTCAAAGCATCGCATGACACCTTGTGCACCTGCATCCCCCTGTCTTCGAAGTCAGAAACAGAGGTGCCTTCCTGGTGGCGTGGTATTGTTGCTATGGAGTTTACAAGATAGCTCTTTATTATTAATCTAGAGAAAGAAAAGCTTTTAATAAACTAACTGAATTTATAAAATACATCAAACTTCCACAATAGGGGTGTAAATTCCCCTTAACTGTCTCCTTAAAGGAGACAGTTTTGGCTCCTGGCTCAAACTGGTCCTAAGAAACTTTGGGTACCCAAGTATACTGTTGAAGAAATATTTTCCCCTTCTTGCTGTTCTAGACACAAACTTGCCATCCTTTGCCCTCTGTATCTTCTCTACAACATTGGGCTGTACCATGGCAATAAGAAAAGAATTATTCTTTCCCTTTCTGAAAAGAATTTTCAGTTTCTGCCCTAATTTTTTGGTTCACAAAAATTAAAGAGTTTGTGGCTATGCAAGACAGGTGTGTTCCTTACACAGTTGTCTTTTTTCGTTGTTAACCTATGGGACATGATCAGTCCTGATTTTATGAAGTACTTGTCAAAGAGATCCTGTGTTACGTTGTGTGTGGGATTGAAACAAAAAGATAGCGTTGTCCCTCCTCCAGCATGAAAAAACTTATGTTTCAGATTAAATCTCTTTTATTAATGAAGAAAAATCCATCTTGTGTAGAATGCTGCTTCCTAAATGCTTTGTACTTGTTGCTTTCATCAGCTGTAGAACATTTTCCTACCTAAAGACACCCAGCTGTACTACTTGATGTTTTTAATTGCTCCCTCTATATACTAAACCTTTAATACCATTGGCCCTACTTCACCAGCTGTTTTCTCAACTCACCCATCATGTTGGACAAGATTTCTCAGTTTGTGTGGTTGGTATTCTGGATTAGCACTCCCCCTCCTGGTAGAGTTGTGTTCATCTGACAATCCAAGAATTTACTGTGAAAATATGGGCCAAATACAGGTAAATCAGTTTAAGATTTGGGACTTCCTTGGAATATATAAGTTTTTTCTACAAAGTCTTTCTCTTTTTTCTTTAAGGTGGAATTTCAGTGTTGGTCACTTTGAGCTGCGCTATGTCCCAGATATTGAAACTAGAGCAGGATATATTGAAAGCAATTTTAAATCAAATATGAACAAAGAAGAAACAAAAATTATTTCAGATGTGGATGAGCAGGAAGCTATGATGAAAGATACGGTGATAAAGGTCTCAGTAGCTGACTGGAAGGTGATGGCTTTTAACAAACGAGGAGGACACCTGGAATGGGAATACCAGGTAGGGGAAAAGGCAGAATATTAAATGATACAAAAGTAGAAGTTTTGCAGCATCGTAGGGGATGTCTTTCACCTTGGGTTTCAGGTGCTGCTCTTTGTAAAGAAGCACACATCTGCTTGCAATTTTTTAAACTGAAGTTCTGACTTTGAGCTGCTCCATCTGTTACAAAAACTAAAACAAGGAATTTAAGCACAGTATTTGGCATTATTCTTATGTAATATCTAGTTAATACAACATTAATTTTCCAGTTACCTCTCTCTCCTTCAGTTTTGCACTCCAATTGCTTCTGCATGGCTGGTTAAGGATGGCAAAGTAATTCCAATCAGTCTGTTTGATGACACAAGTTACACTGCGAACAATGAAGTATTGGAAGATGAAGAAGATCTTGTGGAAGCTGCCAGAGGGGCCACAGAATCCAGTGTCTATTTGGGTGAGTGACTGCAGCTTTTTCTGTAGTGAACGTTATCCTTTTCTCTGTTGACGTTGTAGTAAAGCAGACCTTTCTGTACTGGTAGATGACAATAAAGAGGAGCTATAACATGTCCAGTCTGATATTCTGCATAATGTAGGCTGTTAAATTTAACCCACATTGCTTTGTAAAGCCACGCATTCGAGGCTTCACTAAAATACATATCCCAGAAAGGCACCTTCTCTTGATTTAAAGACTTTCAAAAAGGTAGAGATGTGTTCTCATCTCTTCCTAGTCTGCTCTGGTCATCTTTGCTGTTGTCATTCAAAGTCAGAGTTCTGTGTACCCATCTTAAATTCTGACAGTTACAAAAGGTATGGCAGAATTAATATCTATGACTGTTTATCCTAGACAGTGATAGTTAAAAAAATTGATTTTTTTCCTTTTTTTTTTTCTTTTTTCAAAACCAGAACATTTCAAAACCATGAATCTTTTCCTTTTTCGTTATGAAGTGTTCACTGCTGTGTAGTTTCAGTACATTGGAGATGATTGAAAGTCTTGAAACTTTTAGAGATAGGTTTATAGCTAACAGGCCAGTCTTATTGCTCTCTGCTTACTGAGCAACATCTGCCTCCAGCCTGCCAATTTGTGACATTCATTTTTTCCTCTACATCGATTACAGTAACTTACTGTGAAGAAATTTCAGTTAAGATTTTATGTAACTGAGTTTTCATTCAGCTGTCAGAATTTATTTTATGTCGTTTGTGACAATTTGAAGTAGAGCGGTCTCAGATCCTTCTTCCTCTCAGCTGTCTGTCTGTCTCTGGGAGGTAACGTGCTTTCGTTTTCTAAGACTTCATTTGCCTTAGTCTTTTTCTGTAAGTCTTTACACCTTGTACCATTCCTGTTAGTGGTTACACAGATAAAGAATAACACTAGGAAGAAGCCAGGTTGTTCCAGCCTTCCTGGTAATGTCAGTTGATGAGTAGTCTGTACCAGCATTAACAAGGGTAGAAGTTTGAAAGAAGTCTTACCAATGCAAAGCCCAAGCTGCTTTCTAGCTCTTCAAAATTTCTGGCATTTTTCTGCAGCCTCAGCTCTCCAGCAGTGGAAATGAGATGTCCTGATCTCTTGCTTTTCTAGAACAAAGGGAGCATATTACTTGACTTCAGCCAGCCTAGCAATCAGAGTCAGTATCTCAGATTCTCAGAATATAAAGAAATATTTTGAAAAATGTTGTTAACTGTGTATTTCAGTTGCGCAGTTTTATGCTGAGGATGAAGAGAACGAAATCGTAAGACTAATATGCTCTCTGATTTATTATTCAGGTATGTACAGGGGCCAGCTGTATCTTCAGTCATCAGTCAGAATTTCTGAGAAATTCCCAACCAACCCAAAGGCTCTGGAATCCAGGAACGATAATGCAATTATTCCCCTTCCCAAAATCAAATGGAAACCTTTAATCCGTAAGTGACAATTCAGTTACTGTCCTAGCTCTGAAAAGACAGGACATCTTTGTGATTTCCAATATGTGTCAAACTAGTCTGATGTTTCCAGTTGTAAACCAGTTCAGGAACTATCTTTGTGCTTTATTAATTGTTAATTTCTTTCTAATTAGGTATTTAATATTTGCTTTCTTTTACTATGGATTTTTACAGGGTCTTTTTAAATAACGAAATGTTGGTCATCTTAAACCAATTTTTTTCTACAAAAAAAAGGAAAAAGTTTTTTGCAGTGCTGTGAATATGAGTGAATTGACTTGTCCAAAATTAGTATTTTGGCAGCGGGGGAGAGGTATTAACTAACAGTTACCTTAAAATACCCTTCTTAATGTTCCTTGCATTAATTTTGGTTCTCATGGTGTGGTCCAACAGACATTTTTGAAGATTATGCAATTGGACTTCTCATGAAATTCATACAGAATAGAATATTCGTAGCAGTTCAGCTCAGAAAATTGTGTCTTTTCTATGCTTAGATTCTCCTTCCAGGACTCCAGTGTTGGTGGGATCTGATGAGTTCGATAAGTGTCTCAGCAATGACAAATATTCTCATGAAGAGTATAGTAATGGAGCACTTTCAGTTCTGCAGTATCCATATGGTAGGTGGAAGCCCCAGATTTTGAAAAGTTTAAAGTAGTCGGGTTTACCCATTTATTATTTGTGAAATTTAATAGCTGGCCATTTGTTTGATCTTAAATATGTTTTGGTTTGGGGTTTTTTTGAACATTTAATGAACGAGGAGTTTATTGCCCTGACTAGGATTTCCAAATTGTGATGTGTATACAATTAGTGCCACACAAAGCACTTCAGTAGCAATTTCTGGCACTCTGCAAAGGTACTGTGTGTGCTGCCATTGACACTGATAGTTGGTCCGAGTGGAAAAAGCTTTTGAATTACTTTTTGGTTTTAACAATTTGCTAACAGTGCTGGAGACTCAGCCTGGCAGTATAAAGTTTTCCATGTGGAAGATATTCTGGTTTAAAACTATCAGTGGTCAGGCCTTCTGAGGTGGTAAACTTTGATTGCAGACCTAGTTGTGGTGGAGTCCACAACCTTGATTAACTGAATTTGCTTATGTGCCATTTAAAATCATGGGACATGCAAACAAAAATACCCTGTGTCTGTTGTCTTCTTACTGAGAAGACAAAATTGTTTTGTAGTTACCTACAAGTAAATCTATGCCCTCTTTGTGTCTTTTATACACAGATAATGGTTATTACTTACCCTACTACAAGAGAGAGAGAAATAAACGTAGCACCCAGATCACTGTTAGATTTTTTGATGACACGAATTACAAGAACATTCGCAAAAAAGATCCTGTTCTTTTGCTTCACTGGTGGAAAGAAATTGTTGGCACCATTATATTTTGCATTGTGGCCACAACTTTTATTGTACGCAAACTTTTCCATCCCCATCCTTACAGCAGAGTAAGTATTTTTTTCTGAATCCTAAATACAGAAGGTATTATTCTAGCCTTTTCTTTTGGTTTAGAGTCTGCAATGAGTAGTATTAGTAAGTTAATAAGTAATGAGATAACAAAATCAAACACCTAAATTTATTGTTTAATCTATCTGTGAAGGCTGTCAGCTGCCATGTACAATTTGCTTAACTGCTTCAGCAAGCAGATTACACTCCTTCAACCATATCTGACGTCTTTGGAGGTATTTACACTGGAATTATTTAATGCCATATCTAGGGTACAAACTGGTCTCAAATACTTAAGGAGTTGAATTTGTTTGTTTGTCTCTTGTTTTGGTAACCCCTGTTAGCTACGGAAGGAATCTGAAACACAGTGTCAGACTGATAGTAAATATGAGCCCACTTGTGGAGACGTTAAAGAGACCAGCTGGAGTGACGTCAAGAACTCTGGATACGTGTCAAGGTGAGCTCAGTTCAACACAACATGTGCAGAGTTTTTAGTCAATGTGACGACTAACGCTCTCTGGAGGAAAGAGTAGGTGTTCAGTTGTTCTTACCTACCCTAGTCCTAGTCCTGTGACTTTGTAGGACAATCAGCAACTGACATAAAGAACCCTGTCACCACATTACCGACAGGAGATTGCAGTTACGATTAGTCTAAGCAATCCCGGAGAGTCTACAGGATACCTGTGATCAGGAATGTTGCGCTCATATTTCCTGCTGATATGTGAAATGGAAGATTGATTCTCAATGTTCTTAATCAGTGTTTACTCCTGCTGTCTCTTTGTTTATGAATTAAAGCAGAAAATGGCGATTGCAGATGGAATTAAAGCAGAAAATTGCAACTGCAGATGGAAATAGATCATGTTTTATATACTCTGCAGAATAAGCAGACTGTATTTGGACCAAACCTTTGCCGATGTTATGAAGGAATTGGTTAAGACAGAAAGTTTTATAGGGGCATGTCATGATACTCTGGAGAAAATGTGACCATTTCCTGTACATTTGTAGCTCCCTGAAAGCATGAACTGGAGTATTTAAAATGAGGAAGGATAAGAAAGGTAGTGAGATTTAAGAACAGTGATGTTTCAGAAGGGATGCTTAGAAGGACTAGTTGCAGAATTAGTTATTTGGCATGGGGTTAAAGGCAAATCATGATTTAGAAAATACTTAGCTGTCACCACCTAGTTTGGGTATAGAAACTTGGGCTACTTACCCATGGTCCATGATCCGGTAAGCATGCAACCTGATACTCTGAAAAGCTTCTTCAGTTTGTCATATGCATGTCTAATGGATCTTGCTGGGTTGTGATAAACACTGAATACATGCATAATCAGCAACTGTCCAATTAATAAATAGGTAACCATCTGACTGCCTCAGTGCGTGAGCAGGCAAAAAAGACAAGAAATGCTTCCAGTAGTTCAGCATGTTCTGCCTGTATAGAAGTATTTCACTCTTAGTCATAAATGATTTTATTTTTCTATCTATATTAATATATTTTTCTCCTCCCTCCATTCTTCTGTCCCTTCCTCACACCTTTCTCCTCCTAGATATCTGACAGATTTTGAACCAATTCAGTGTCTGGGTCGTGGAGGTTTTGGAGTAGTTTTTGAAGCCAGAAATAAGGTAGACGACTGCAACTATGCTATCAAAAGGATCCGTTTACCTAACAGGTAATGAATGAGTTTGTTGAGATATAGAAAAGGCAATGAATGAACAGTGGGATCCCAACCTACACTGAACCATCTGTTCCTGAACTGATTTCCCAGATAGTACCTTAGGATGAATGACATACTTTTTAATGGCGGGGGGGCTGACTTAGTTTTGGCATCGAGAATTTGGCATATGTAATCACAGCAGAAGGGTGACCTGCTTGGCTAAAACGCTTGTGTAGCAGCACCCTTGTAAGGATGCTGCGGCTATATGGGAACTCCTTTGATTTCCCTGATGAATAACAGAGCCTTTGGTAACAGGACCAGTTATTTGTAGCACTGTTAATTTGCTTCTCTCCTTCCTCTCTTTTCCTTTCCTACTCCACCTTCTCTTTCTTTTCTCTCTCCCTCACCAGCTTTTCTGACTCCATTTGTCCATTTGTTTCACTTTCTGGTCCCACAACCCCTACCTTTTCTTTCAGTCATAGGTGGTCAAGCCATGCTGCTGAATTACCCTACACAGAGCTTGCAGCACTTCCTTTTAGTGGGAGATGGGAGACACTGCTTCTGGAAATCTCAAGTTAGAACAGCAACAGGCAGGCCAGTAGAGGGAGGGGGTAAAGCTGTGAAATCTAGAATTACTATTTTTTATGTGTTAAATAAGCGTGACTATTTAAGATTAAAGGCTTTTTCAGAAATTTAAGGTAGCCTGAATTCTTCTTTTCCAAGCATATGCAAACTCATTAAATAAACCCCTCTGACTTCATTTGATCCAATTATGGTCTTATGAAGAGAGAATAATTACTTCAGTAAGATAGCAGGCTACTTGCTTTCCTGTCCATAGGTCGGAGATAGTCTTTGTGCAGTCTCCTTATGTTATGCCAATTAAAAAAGAAATACTAAGGTATTACTGTCTGTCTTCTTTTGTGTCAGTGTCTTCTACATCCCTGTAGAATATTGTTGTTTAGTGGTCTTTCTTTCTATCCTTGTAAACAGTTGAGAGCCAGATGAACCTTTTCTTCTCAGTTTTGCTGCCTGTAATTATTTGAAAAAGGATGACTAAATACTTAGCTGTTACGAGTGCATACTGCTCCCACACACTTGTAACCTAAAGGAGTTACTCTGGGGGATTTAAGACATATCTGTCTTTTGGTGTGAAGAGCAATACTACTGGCCTGGTTTATATTGGACTATCTTTGGTTAAATTCCTTTGCAGAAATTTCTATGCTATGCTGTTGCTTTATGTGACCTTGTCTATGTTTTTCTTCTCACCCCAAATGCTAGAGAGCTGGCTCGTGAAAAGGTGATGCGGGAAGTCAAGGCGTTAGCTAAACTTGAGCATCCAGGTATTGTTCGGTATTTCAACGCATGGCTGGAAGCTCCACCTGAGAGATGGCAGGAGAAGATGGATGAACAGTGGTTAAAAGATGAAAGGTAACTCGTGGGGGGCTTTTTAACAATTGAGTTTGAGGTTGTACATCAACAGAACTGGAGAACTGGTAGATGATCCAGGAAGACAGAGAGACTGTGTAGGAAAGAGATGGTTATTAACTTAGCCTGTCAACTTTTCAATGAACAAGGTACAAATATATCGCACTTGTGCATAATGTCTCTTCTTTAGTGGATCGTCTCTTGTGTTGAGGTCCTTCTTTCAGCTTATGAAAGGTCTTGTAATTATTAATGTAACTTCTTTAATTGAATCTCTAATTGAATGGTTGGAAGGTTGGAGCATTGCTACTGTTATTCAGTTTTAAACTTTGGCATCTCTGTCCTCTTTGTTCCTTTCTGATGCTTTCCTCTTCTTTGTTTTGGTTTAGATGGATCTGATTCAGTACTCCAATGGTTGGATGAATTTATTTCAGCATAAATCTGCAAGGGATAATCAGAGTGGTGATATATAAAGCTTGGTAGAAGTAGATTAAAAATGGAAAATTTAGATAAAGGAGTTAGAGGATATTAAGAGAAAGGAAAAAGTGGGTCTATTTAATGAATGAGGCCTAATACAAGACTATTTAGTGGTCTCATAATAACATCTTAACATGCCTAACAATTTTTAGAATATAGCGACCTTTATATTTCAGGCACCAGATTATCATTTTACAGCTATAATTCTTCCAAGGCACTTTAAATAGCCATTGCAATGCATGTTCTAAACAACTGAATCTTTTCAAGCTGAAGATGAGTCTGATTGCACATTGGGAATCCAGGCAGTAGAGCTTGCTAAATTTTCCTTTTTCAACACTTTCTCAATGAGAGAACCATTATCCTTACTAAGAAAAATGGAGGCTAAATCCTGGTTATTACTGATTGCCACACTTGGGTAGTTATTTACCTTTATAGTATGACACGGTTCTGTGAGGTAGCAGTTGTTTAAAACCTGGGCTTCTGAAAATGCATTTCTAGTGGAATGAAGTTCTGTAGTATTGATCTGTCAAATTTTGTTTTTCTAGTACTGATTGGCCACTCAGTTCTCCCAGTCCAATGGATGTCCCATCATTTAAGATCAGAACAGAGCCATTTTCTACAAAGGAACACATTGAAGTTATTGCCACTTCATCAGAGAGGGTACCATCTGTGGGAATACCCTGTCGTCAGACTGATTCATCTGGAAGCCAATTTTATCCTCTGGAATTTTCTGCCACGGACAACAGGGACTTACACCAGTCAGAAGATCCACTATTAAACCTTCAGGACAGTGTCCTTACAGGCTGTGATATAGAAGACAGTACTATCAACAATAATGAGCTCGGTCATTCCTTGGAAGTTTGTTCTTCAGCCGTTCCTGCTGTACAGCTGAGGGAAGGGACCTCCTCTTCTATTGTGTTTGAGGATTCTGGTTGTGGCAATGCTTCTAGTAAGGAAGGTAAAATTGGTATTTCACATGATGAAAGCCTTTCTGAGGATAAGGCAAAAAGTACAAAGGAATCCGCTAACAAGAAATCTGCTTCAGGAAGTCCCCTCTCTGTTTCTCCACCAAGGCCAACAAGTTTAAGCCTGGACCTTTCTAAAAATATTACAGAAAAAGTCAAGCCCACCTCTCCAAAGGTGTATCTTTACATCCAGATGCAGCTCTGCCGGAAAGAGAACCTTAAAGACTGGATGAGCAGAAGATGCCTGATAGAGGAGAGGGAAAGGACAGAGTGTCTGCAGATATTTCTGCAGATAGCTGAAGCGGTTGACTTTCTGCATAGCAAAGGATTAATGCACAGGGATCTCAAGGTTTGTATTCACACATTACTGTAGGAAATGGGGGGGGGGGGGTGTTTATTTATTGGCATGATTATCACTGAATGCCTGAACTTTCCAAATTCTGGTTATAACTGGTTATCTCACTGGCTGTGTCCTATAGGCAAATGTTTTCTGGTTTAGTACTGTAAGATTATTTTTGGAGCTATCATAACTTGAATTATCTGTGCCCAAAGTATCATACAGAAGTCTCTGGTGCTGTGAAATTCTTGAAACGTGTGGCCTGACTCAAATGGCATCACAGGGTGTCTGTCCCTTCACTGCATTACGAACTTGAACATCAGCAATTCCAAATTTGACTGCTCCTAATGCAGCAGTGCCAGGCTGTTTAGCTCGGTGTCAAGTTCTGCTTCAAACTGACAGATCACGAGTGTGTGGATGCAGGTAAAATTCTTTGTACGTGAGAGTAATACAGCATTGGAGACAAACCCTGCTAAAATAGTTGACTCTTACCAGTGACCTCAGCAAGGGTGTTACGAAGTCTGTACAATAATCTGGAGGTGCAGTATTCCAGGAAATAAACATTAATCATTCATTATTGCAATTAAAGTCTTCCTTACAGCAAGACTTCTTGTACCTGGCACAGATCAGCTGCATTTGTTTTATGGCATTCTCAATTCAGGTTCTTTATACAGGGTTGTTCATTGCTGAGCCGTGTGGTAAAGAAAGCTGTTTTGGATCCTGTTCTACCACTTCAAGTGAAGCAGATGATTGGCAGCGTTAGGTTTACGGTTGGACTCGATGATCTTAACAACCTAACTGATTCTATTATTCTAATTCTGCTATTTTCTTTCTTCTTTCTATAGCAATACTGCGTAAGAGCAGCAGTGTTACTCCTGGTTAGAGAAAGTAAAAATTAGGCATTGCTGCTCTAGGATTGAAATATAAACTGTCCCGGAGTTGAATTCTGAGTCAATGCTGACTATCATAACGCAGCTTTCTGAAGGATTCGTAATCTTTTTAATGTCTGATAACATGCAGCCAGTTAAGACTGGGAAAGGTGTTTTTTACCCCTGGCATTTAATGTAACTGAAGTCAGGAGTACCTTTTTGTACCTCTTCTTTAATTTTTGCTTCTGAGCCTACATTAATGCCTAATCTTGCTGGAACTTCCAGAACTGGAAGTGTCAGGATGTGTTACCAAATACCAGAATTTAATTAAAGAGCCCAGCTGAAGTTTGTCTTATTATTATAAGCTCTGAGAAATGGATTGCTTTTGCCAAACTGTGGGGCGACAGTTCCTGTTTCTCTTTGCTTATTTGAGGAGGCATTAATACCTACTTCAGTGGACTAAATACTGAAGTTGTTATAACCATTTTTGTAGCTTCTCAGATGGTAGCCATTTGGTATCAGTAGAAACAAAAGAAAAAACTGCCATCTCAGATGTGACAGTAAAAGGGCATTCAAACTCAGTAACACTGAAAGGATTTGCCAAAGTTGGGAAAACTCATGAACCCATCCAAGTGTTTTCTTTCCCTGTCAGCATTAAGCAATTACCTTGAACCAGTTATCTGAAAAATCTTTAGTGCTTGAGAAACTGAACAGAAAAGTAATTAAATCCCTATACTAATGCTAGACTCGTTAATTAATAACCTTTCTTAACAATACTGTCAGTTGTAACTCTCTGCAGTCTTTACTGAGATCACTGTTCAGTAAAGCTTATGTAGATCTTCACTTAAAGTTGTATTAGTCTTGATCAGTGGTTGTGTAGCGTTTTGTTGGAACATCTTGAAAGTTCAGTATTGGCAGTAATTTGAACAAGAGATTTTGTTTTGTTTGCTTGGTGTAAACAACTTGTTCATTCAGGGAAAGCCTTTCCAACTTCCAGCGTCAGAAAACTTGCCATGTGTGTATAGACATTATTCTTGGATCCTGGAAGTTTATTTGTCTGCTATATGTTCATTTGGTCAAAATAATAGCCAGTATATTTTTTTTCTATAGTTTTCAGAAGCTCCTTGGAACAGACATCACCTAATTTTGTAATTTGCCCAAGAGATTGGTCATGCCACCTGAAGTTCGTGTCAGCACTAATAAGCAAATAACCTGAGAAGCTGTTTTGTCTCTGCTAGAGGCAGAGCTAACCGATAGCAGAGGCCAGTTCTTGCTCCCATTGACACCAACAAAAACTCACTGACCTATGTAAAAATAAATTTGTGTGCATGCATATTAAAAAGATTGACGAAGATCTTTTAAATATTTAAATTAACAGTGCACCTTGAGATGCATTAATTAGGCTCCTACTAATCAGAGATACCGTAATGACAAGATAGCAGGAATTTAGAGAGGCAAGTGGATAGGTCACAGTTCAGTGTACAGTGAAGTACAGAAAAAGAAGTCTGTCTGTCAAATGAATTTACTGTTATTCCCAGGATAAGATGTCAGTCTTTTTGACAGCTCAAAAGAAATTAGGAGTTTCATAGAACTGCAAGAACAGTCTTAGATAGATTTTGCAGCGTTAATTGAATTAAACAGTAGTCTTCCGGATGTGTGAGTAGCTTATTCGTATCTGTAAAAAAAAATGGGTAAGTCTTACTCTGATTGAAGAATCTAGAGAGAAATTTCTCTGTGCAGGTAGAAGGATAACTAAACTAGAGGGTGGTTGTATTCTTCTGGTTTAAATTAAAATTGTGTGTATCTGCCTTAGAATTCCTCTTTCTGAATGTGGTCTTGATGACTTATTTTTGCTGGCAGTTTGTGATAGCAGAGAGTCCATTCTCCTTAATTTGTAGAAACTATATGCCAGCCCATTCACAGACAGTCTGTTTTCAGCTGGAGAAGTACAAGAAATAAAACTTTTTGTTAAGAAGAGTTTTGCTCTGTGAAGCAAGACAGATCTTGTTGACTTCTTGTGTGTGTGTTGGAGGAGGAGGGGAATGGAGATCAAGGCAATGGGATACAAATCCCTAATGGAGATGTTTGTGCCTTGAGCATTAAAATTGATAGAAAGATTTTTGACAACGTGAGTGTGCAGTCAGAGGACAGGTGCCATATAAATGCTTCAGAGAGAGCCTGAGCCACTATTTACAGGGTAGTAGCTTTTGTGCACTAAATGAGCTGTGATTCTGAAGGGCATAACATTCATTATAGGAAAATATAGCAGGAGGTAAGACCTGGCTCAGAAGGTGGTTTTAGAGGCAGGATGTGGGCACTGTGGAACTGACAAGTTATATCTAACTAATGCTGTAGTGCTTCTCTCAGAGCTGTCTGTTGTTGGGAAAAAAAAAAAAACAAACCACCCCAAAAACAAGAGGCCTTCTTTCTATCTTGTTTCTCTCTTGCACAGAGTGGGTTTGTCTTTAACTGAGGAAGTCGGATGGTCATCTTTGTAGTCCTTTAATCTTGTGGAAAAATACTGTTCTGTACCTGTTTGCTGCCTCCTGTTTCAGGGTTTATGTCAACAGAGCATGGACCATGCTTCTTCCAGCCCTGAAAGTCCAGGAGCTCTGAGAGCAGCTTGCCTAGCACCAGCTGCCTCTTCACCATGCCTCAGCCCCTTCCCCATACATAATCCTGCTGCTTCTTCCCTCTTGCAGGATCAGTCTGTTCTTCCCCCAAAACTCTGTCTGTCTTTATTTGTAACTGAGGTTACAAATAAATAACAATTCATTTAGCATGTGCTCTTCTATCAGCCACAACGCAGGTCTCCTGAGAAACTGTAGGGGATATGTACCATTAGCAAGGGGGCATCTCAGTTCCAGCCTCCTTTTATCAGTAGGTTAAGCCATGGATGGTGGCACCTGGCAAACAAGCTAAAGGAGAGTTAAGCCAGATCATCACTGTTGCTGCTCTTGCAAATTGCAGAGTTCTTAAGCTTCTACCAAAAATAAATTTTTTATTTTGTTATGCAGTTATTCCCACAGTTAAACTGGACAGTACCAACCAAAAAGCAGACCTTGTTCTCAGACTTTCAGTGTATCTATAATTTAACATTAAGATGACGTGCTACATGCCGGTTAATAATATTGTGAACAAGTTTAGCACTCGGAGATTAGATTAAAAAAGTATGAGAGTCAGAACTCAGCATCTGGTGTGAATTTTCCATATGATAGAGAGCTGGAGAACTTATCTGTGCTGTTCCCCACAGCTGTTGACTTTTGTGTATGTTACTCAGCAGACCTACGTAGAGTTAGTAAACCTCTACTGAAAGGCAAGAAATGAGCAGTCTTGAGTTTCAGAAAGGGAGACTATTTAATGCAGGAGTAATTCTTTTTTCCTGACTAGCTAAGATTCTTAGCTGGTTCTGCTAATTTGATGTTTAAATGAGCATTTTTAGCCTTGGCAGCATGGCTTATCTGAATTAGAACATGTTGTATCCACTGAACCACAGAGACTTTTTTATTACTTACATCTTTTTTTCTTTTCACCTGTTTGTTTTGTAGCCTTCCAATATATTTTTCACAATGGATGACATAGTAAAGGTTGGGGATTTTGGACTGGTAACTGCTATGGACCAAGATGAGGAGGAGGAATCAGTACTTACCCCAATGCCAGCTTATGCCAGGCACACAGGACAAGTAGGGACGAAACTCTACATGAGCCCAGAACAGGTTTGTGCTCTCTGCTCTAAAGCTGTACCTGTCAGTGCCTGGAAGACATCTGAATTCCCAGGAGCTCAAAGATCAGGCACTCTTTCTACTAAATTGTTACAATCAAGTTACTTAAATCTTTTCTCATCAAAGTAGAGTTTTAAGCTAAGTTGAATTTCAAAATTAATATTTTAATATATATTTAGCAAAAAGTGGCTAATGATTCATACTTAGATGCATTCATTTATCTTGCTTTTAATGTAGTAGAAAGATAACTGTATAATATTAAAGTTAATTTAGCAAGGACACACTGTTGTGCGTAAGGCTTAAGTAAGTTGAAACATTTTTACATTACAGTTGTGTCTGCAAAGAAGAGCTGGTGATCAGGACCTCGCTGACCCATGCTCATTTGATGAAGTTTGCTGATGTGCCTGTCCTTTAGTTTTCAGCTCTTCACAGGGCTAATCACTTCCATATGTTGACTTGAAAGGGGGTTGTTTACATTGTACATAATTACATACACTGAGAGCTTGATTGACCTAACCCTAATTTTGAACTTTCAGATCTGTGGGAACACCTATTCGCACAAAGTGGATATCTTTTCTTTGGGATTGATTCTCTTTGAGCTGCTTTACCCTTTCAGCACACAGATGGAGAGGGTCAGGGTACGTATGGTATTGGATTATGGTCAGTTTGATCGTTTCTTTAAAATAGCTATTCGCTAGGTGAAACACTTGCAAGAGGTTCCTCTCAGTTTTGAAAAAGCCTTGCAATTAGGAGCACAACTTCTTTATCAGCCTTGTACAGACCCCCTGAATCACTGAAAATAAATTGCAGTCTTCCTAATGTGTGCAGTTTAATTGAGGCCTTAATTTCTTTACAAAGCTCCTCTGTTGTCAAGCCAAGTAAGAGAAACTATTGAACTAGGGTATCCAAGAACTCAAGCAACAAATATAGCTTGTGACTTTAAGCCTACCAGCTTGTTTTTCATTCAAGAATTGGAATCACGCTGTGCATTTTTATCATTTCTTCCTTCGTTCGCATCTGCAGTGCTTTTTCACTTTTTCACCAAAGCACTTAGGGGAAAATTGGTGTTCCTTTTCCTATAGTAAGTCTTAGCTGAGTCTCACTCAGCTTCAAGCACAATCTTCCCAGTAACTGATGACTTTCTTTGCATCAGCTGTGAATTTGGGAGGTTTGATGGTGTATAATAACTCTTCCTTGCTGGTAAAATGCATGCAAGGTCCACCTTGCTCAGAAACAAGTTCATAGAGAACTGAGGCTACAGACAGAAAGGTTTTTCCTCTTGTATGTGGTGACTAGTGACCTATGCAGGAAAGAAATCGTCATTATAACCTGTATTTATCATTTATATGTGCTTGGGGTGTTTAAATTCTCATATGAAGATGGATTATTTTTAGCAGAGATGTAAGAAGCAGCTTGAACAACACCATGAATGCAGCCTGACTGAATGCTTCCACCTATGCTGATGTTGCATACTCTGCCTTTTCGTGGTACAAGAGAGCATAGTCTAGAGAAGCAATGACAGTGCTTAACTCAAACCCCTTGCACTGGAACCTGTTTCAATTTCCCTAAGTAAAATCAGTTTTACTGAGACACGTACCCGATAAAGAGCTATCCTGGATTCTCAAGATCTGCAGCAGTGACTACAAGCTTTGCCCTTCCAGCTTCTGTCCTGACTATAGAAGCAAAGCAAGTAATCAGAGTGAATCCTAAATTGCACTGTTTTTCTGCTTACAAGGGTAAAAAGAGTGCCCTAACTTTCCACGATTTTCACTGTCATTCCACTCTTTTTGATAAAATCAAAAGGAAGTCCCCACCCCTTCATTGTCAAGTTCTGGAGTTTAGCAGTTTAGCTACTGTAGTATTTGTTTCCAAGTTGTTACGCTGAAGTTTTCATTGGCATTAAGCCAAGCAGTAGCACTACTTGCTGAAGCAAAACATGATCTGCCTGACCAGGTAGCCCAGCAAATTCTAGGAATCTCTGACAAATGGCTGGAAAAATCCCCAGAGGAGGAGTGAGAGAGCTGCCTTTGTCTCAAGCTGTTAGCAGTTAGTCTGTGGCAGTGCAGTTTATTTCCAAGTTAGATGTTTGAAAACAGATCACTGAATTGATAGAGAAAGAGAACAATTATTTGAAGCATTTTATTATAATAAAAACTCAGTTCTCTTGAACAGGAGTTTGATTATTGCCCATCACTATTAACTGGTCAGTTTATACTTTCAGTGGAGTAATAATGATTTGAATTTTGTTTTAACTTTAGAATTCTTATATTTTGTGCTCAAACTTTTGTAAAAAGAGGTCCTTCCTAAAAGAAATGAAGTGCTAAATATTGCCCTTCTGCACTAAAAACTTGAAGTGGGTCATGGATTGCTGGAAATTACAGAACTTAAATTCATAAGGTAGCTTGCTGCAAATAATTGTGTGCCTGAACTTGGGGAAATCCCTGTCACTAGATGGAGCCCATGTGCTTGTTATGGAAGAAACACTGGAGGAGACCAGCTACCTTGTAAGGCCACAGAAATAAACAACATGAACTGCTTTTGGAACTGCTGATAGTTAGTCCATAAACATTAAATAAAGACTAATGCTTACATTGTTAAGACAGAGGCAGTCATTTCATGTGTCTTAATACTGGTGTAGGTGGTCTTGGGGGTTATGGGTGGTGCACAGATTCGTTGACTTTGAGCCAAAGCGAGAAAGTACAAGTTTGTGTATCTGGCTGGTTTAAAACTGCAGAGATGAGAATTCTTGTAACATGAATCCTAGTGCAGGCTGTATACCTCGGGAAGCAGCAACTTGCCCATTTAAGTACGTTGTGATTTTTTAACTGCTAAAGCAAGACTTTAGACCAAGTTTTTTTCCATCAGGCTGAGTTGTTTGCATAGTATGCATATTTTTGAAAAATAATAGAGTGATATTATTGAAGAATCGTGTTTTGGAGAAGTTACATTTTTTCCTTAATATTTTTGCAGACCTTAAGTGATGTTAGAAATTTGAAGTTTCCACCTCTGTTCACTCAGAAATATGCAAAAGAGGTAAGTACATCTGATGTTGTTAATTGTAGCTTTATCTTTAGTAATTGTAGCTTTTTTCTTTGCTTTCCAATTGCTTTGCAAGTAAACATGAAAAAAAAAAGAGAGCTTTCATGTTAAGACGCATTTCTTTATCCATGTACTTCTTACTATCTTTCATAGCTATAACATTATAGTAACATGGAGGCTGATTTTTTTTTTTTTTCCCCCACACAGTTTCCCTCCAGTAACTATACAATATTACCTGGCTTCCCTTTGTCACTTCATATCATTCATTTCACATGCATCCTGACATGATTTTTTGCAACAACTCCATATTCACAAAGAGAAAATGCAGAGTTCTGGACGGGTAAAGGGGAGACTGCAGGTAGCACCATGGCTGTATGGGATTTCGCTCCAGGAACTGCATCTCTCAAGTGGCAAGCCATATGAGCAGATTGTGCTGTGTTATTGTTAGTCAGATCTTTAAAGTGATATGGTTGCAGATAAAGAGGAGGTGATGTACAAAACCTCTCCAGTAAAAATCTGAGATGTTTTCAGATTTTCACGGTAGATTCAGACCAGCAGCTAAAGGAGACCAGGCTTTCTTGCCTTACAGCTGCAGACTGCCTGAGGGAATGTGATGTGCTGTGCTTAGCTGGAGCAGGACACTGTAATTCTGATTAAATTTCAGACAAACATTCGAACTATGTGTATATTTAAAGGAAAACCTGTAATTCACTGTGAAAAATTACTGTGTGGCTTCAAACATGGTGGCTTCAAACATGAAGCTAAAAATTACTCATAAATTATATTTTCTATGTTTTAAAATTCTTTTGATTGTAAATTAATGTAAAGGTTTTATAACTCTACTGAATCTTGGGACAGATTTGATTTGCCAAATTGATTGTAGTCCTTGACAGTAAAGACAGTTTAATGGATGCAGTGTGATGCATTTTCAAATGTTTAATGCACTTCTACTTACTGCTCCAAAGCACTCATACCCAAATTACTCAGAAAGCAACTGGGCACATTTTCCACTTATTCATACAGCCACAGTTGAAGTCAATTGAAGAATTTATTAATTGGTTCATGTAGCACATGTCATGTTTTCTTTTAGTACACCATGGTGAAGGACATGCTCTCTCCAAGTCCCACGGAAAGACCTGAGGCTGCAGCAATCATAGAAAATCCTGTATTTGAAGACTTGGAACTCCCACCAAAACCAGTGCTTAGGCAAAGGTCACGGACAATGAGTTTATCAGGAAATAAGCATTCAAGACAACCAAGCAAATAATTATCCTCAGGATCACTTCTTCCACTCGGCAGGATTTACAGGGATTGTTCAGCAGAAGGATCCTATGATGCAGAATGTCTGTCTTGGAAATAGTTTACTTAAACTTTTTTTGCCATGGTTAATGCATAAGACGTGTTGGACAGATTTGCGTTTACTTTGACAGCCAACGAAAGCCAGTAACCACACTTTCCACATTCCATTTTTCCTACCTTAATTCTCCTAGGCGGATGGGTCCAGCTACTGTGCTTACCAATGTTGTGCTCCATTACCGTTTTTTGGGGTTTATTGGGTTTTTTTGAAGCTTGTAAATGTCAGCTTGCTGGGTAAGTGAGAGATCTGTAACATGTAAATAGAATTAAAATACCGTATTTTTATAGAGCAAATTACAGTCTCTAAGCCTAGTGAGTGTCTATCCGGATCACTTGCTCTTTGGTGAAATTAAGATGATTTTGAAATGAACTATGACTCCATTTTTGTCCCTGGTGGGTAAACGGGGAATCTGCACTATTTTTAAAGCAAAAAAGTACCACAGTTGTACATACTGTCACTCTCCATAGCCAGTCATTAGAGGAAATCATTTCATACTTCTGCACTATAGTAGATCTTAGGGAATGCATTTTATACAGATAAACCCGTAGAGAAGGAAAAGGAGCTTTTTGCCATTAAAAAGGGGGTTTTATAGGCAGTGGTTGGAAGAGCCATAGTAAAAATTATATACGAAAATGTTGTGATTCTGAAAATTTAAACCTAATGAAGTCATACGTGTCGTATGTAATCTTGTAGATTTGTACTTTTTAAAAAATCAACTGGTAGGCATTTGTGTAATCTGCTAATTTAACTGCCTAATGCCATGCTTTTATTTCTCATTGTAAATACGTTATTTATAAAATACAGAATCAATCCATTTGGGTTGGTGGTGTACAGAATGCACTTGCTGTAATTGAGTGCATTAATTATTGTGACTTCTTTCAAGTCTAAATGATTTAATAAACTTTTTATTTATAAAAAAAAAAATAGTAGTTGTTTCTGTTCAAAGCCTGCATCAGTGCAGCCTTGTGCAGTTGGAACAGAAGGACGGGCAGTGCATTTCTGTAACCTGCTTTGCTTTCCACAGTGCACATGATGATGCAAAGATGAATATGCTGCTTGGAAGGGAGTTCCTGTCTGAAGAAAGAAAGGAATTGAACTCTCTAAACAGAGCAGATTATGGAGGCAATTTCTAACTGTTAACGGAGAGGGAAGAAGGGATAATTCTTACATTATTAGACCTGTTTTTCTATAAATGTATTTTCCTGTTTTACAGGCTTAAATCTGTTAAGGTCTTAGTCTCTGAAACCAATTTCTTAAAAAGATGTTGGATTCAGATCCTTCTGGGGATCACTGTACTGTGGTGCAGCACTATGACTAGCAGTTAAACCTGCTGACACTCTGCAGCCTTATGATAAGGCAAAATTGGATTACAAAAATTGTCTTCCTTGTGCTCTTGGATAACTCTCCTAGATACTGGCTTGTCCAGCTGAAGCCAGAATGCTGCAGTGAATATTTGGTCAGAAACAGAACTCTTATCGAGTTTAACTGGGTTAAAAGAGGAGACAATTAAGTGTGTCCTTTTCCCTTGGATTTCCCTGTTAACATCAGCTATAAAGGCACAGTTAAGTGGCCACGTTTTGAAGCCTCCTCTAGCTTCCGTGCCAGTTCCGTGATTACAGATGGAGCACAGGAAATGAAGAACAAGGTATTTTTAATTTGCTTTATATCTGTGCTGGATGTAAGTAGCTGCCTAGTCCAAGGGCTCTGCAGCATTCCAGTACCAAAGATGGCATATATGTCACACTACGTATTCTGGGATGTTACACTTACCCTCAAAGACTTATACAAATCCTAGCCTGTGCGGTGCGTGCCCAGCTGCAAAAGCACCCGGCCATGCTCATCTCTTAACTGCCTGTGTCAGTGAGTCTTTGCTTCTCTTAGCACTGGGTGCTGGATTGTGCTGTTGCTGTCTTTGCTGCTTTTGCTCCAGGGTTTGACTAAGGAAGTCTTTCCCCTAACCAGAGAGGTTTTCCTCTGAACTCAGGTCTTGCCTGGAAGCGCTCATTTCCTTGCCTCTGGCAGCCCTACTTGCTCTACCCCACCCGTGGGGGAAGAGGATGCTGCGCTATGAAATACCCACTTGGGCTTCAACACCCCCATCAGCTCCAGGATTTATATCAGCTCTTTAGACCAGGCTACCCAAAGGGATGCACCTCCCATGTTGTTTTTCTTCTTTTAGTCAGGCTTTAATCATACTACACTTCCCTGTTCCATCCCTGTCCTGCTGCCAGATGATGTTCTTCAGTCAACTCCGACCATGGTTGGTTAACCATGGTCAACCATGACTGAAAGACCAAAGGCCTTTGGTCTAATGTGCATTTGCTTTATGTTCACATCCTGGAAGCGAAAACAATGAATGCAGGCTCTGTACAGGCGACAGCAGCAGCTTTCCACCCTGTCTGTCTGTGAGTCTACACGACAGCCCTGGTGGCAGGAACTTTTGATGGCTCACTGACAAGTTTATTTGCCTTTTTTCAGTTTATCGACCAGCTATCAGACTGTCTCAGGTCTTCCTGTGGCCATGGAAATCAGTATGTACCTTCCTGCCAACTATTTTTGCAGAGGGACACCTGAACACAGAGGCTAGCACAGCTGCCAGCCTGCAGCCTGGCAAAAGGGAGTGCTGGTCTCGGGCTCGAAGGCATGTGCAGTACTGTGCTCCTAGCCTGTTTTTTCAGAGAATGTTGTCTATCCCTCAGCTCCCTCCCCACCGTAGTTCATGGGGCTGAAACACAGTTCCTTGTTCTATCAAAATGAACTGGGTGGCAGAAGCAAGAATCCTGCCCCGTCCACTTTTGTGCCCACTGGACAATTCTGCTTCCCCCAGAATAAGGGCAGTGTTGTGGGGTTATTCCCCTCACCGCTTCTGTGTTGTTTCTGGAGTCGTAGGAGCTGGGAGACCTAACCCACACCATGAAGAGTCATTTGACAGGAGTACTAGTGTTGCAACCCCAGGTCAGGGTTGTTTCTTCTACCAGGCTCCCAAGAGAGAACGTCTGACCCTTGTACCAGTGTCTTCAGTAGCTGAGCTGCTCCAGGCAGTAGCTACTTGTTTTTTGTTACACCTCTGAGGACAGCCCTCTGCTACGACTCGGGACTTTCACCAACCTCTACTTTTTCTTTATTTATTAATGAAGTGACATTCTTCACCCCTCTGAGTGCCTCACTCCAGTAGTTTTAGCATTATACTTTAGCCTGGGTATTTTTCTGCTGTGTTTGCTCTGCTGCTCAGGCTGCAGAAGCCTTGCCTCTCCCAGGTGGGTGGCTGAGCACTCAGAAAAAGCCATTGTAGAAACCATCCTTTAAGTGTTTCATGTCACCAGAAGAGCAGGCTTTGAGTGCAGTGGCTCTCCCATGTAAACCGGCGTGAGACCCCACCAGAACCGTGCCGAGGGAAGCGACGGCTGATGTCTGAGCGGTCACCAGTCCTCACGTGACCCTGCTAGAGAAAGGCTGTGGTCCCGGGGGCTCAGCTCCTGCTTTTACTCACTGTTGCGATGCTGCAGAGACATTTGGGAGCAGTCCTGCCTTTTCAGGGTAGTCCTTCAGTGAGGTACTCCATGGCCTTCCTGTGGGGAGCTGGTGCTGTTTGAAGTCCAGACTTACCACTTGGGAGTGGTAAAAATAATCATTCCTATTTATCATCTTTTTTAATGACTCTGTGGTCCAGCAATACTCTATAGCTAGACTCATAGCATCAAGGCATAGACATCACAAGTGCAAAATACACAAGAAACGGCTCCTTTACATCCACTGTTTGGCTGGTGTTGGTCACCTGGAGCCCCTTTGAACTCCCTGGGTACTTGGTGCTCTTGGTGTTACAGAGAAATGTTTCAGCAAGTCTCGCTCACCTCCTGGGGTCTGCCACATAGGTTATTCCCTTCCAGAATTAATAAGGAAACACAGATAATTCAGAGAAGGCCACTGGAGCAATGATCTTGGATTTAAGAGCAGCCACAACATCCATGCATGTAGAGTATTTCTCCTACCTGTTCCTCTCTGCTGCTGAAACAAGTCTGAAACTGGAAAGCTCTGAATCTCTCGGTATTTCAGGATTGAGTGAGTTGAACCCTGAACAACAGCCCAGACTGTGGAGGGCACAAGCTGCTGGACCATCTGCTGCCTTCGTAAAGAAGCAACCTCTGCTCTTTGATCACATCCCTCTTGCCAACTCCCATACGCAGATTGACACACGTGGAGTTATTAAAACTAGTCAGATTTGTCATGTAAGCTGCAAGATGAGAGCTACAGTGGCTTGATAAGAAAGAAATACTGTCCCACCTTATGTTATAGATTACCAGGATGTACACAAAGACAAGTTCATGTTATCATACTGACTTTTTTCCCCAGCATGAAGATTGAATTTGTTTTAGGAAATGCTCATTAAAAAAATAATTACCCAGGAAGGAATTAGCTCCATTAGTTATAAAAAATTGCCCCTAAAATATCAACGTTCCTCATTTGTAAAAGTGTGCAAGATGAAGAAATGCTTTTTTGCCGTATGCCCCCAGCTGAAATATTCCAGCTCCTCCTTTCCCTGTTTTCCTACCCGTTATTTTTCCATTAGGATGTGTCCTGGCACTTTCTGTACCACCACCTCCAGCAACTGATTTTGCATCCTGATTACTTGGGTTTGCCCTTCAGGGCACCGTTGGGCACTGGCAATGCAATGCTATATTCTAGGTCTGGAGCAGTCTTGGAAAATGTGGCTATGGAAACCATGTCTTCTCCAATGTCCACCTGAGACCTGTGCCTGCAAATGAGCAGCTTCTTCAGGGCCCGTTGGAAGTCCCGGTTCAGAAAAGCATAGAGCATTGGGTTGATGGTGGAGTTGCAATACCCTAACCAAGTGATGACCTTGAAGGTGTCAACCAAGACCGTGCTGGTGGAGTCGGTGCCTCTGGCAGCGA